AGCTTGCAGATGATACCATTCTTCTCTTATCACAACATAAGAATGTTTCCCCGAATGGCATTTCTCTCTTGTTTTTAGTGGTCTCTGGCTTGATGATTAGTTTTTATACAAAAGGTCTAGCAAATATCAACATGGAGGACAATGTAATTAGAAATTTCGCTAGCTTAGTACGGTGTAAAATCTTGGAGTGGCCTTTCACTATCTAGGCCATAATCCTTGTTCGTTTTTTTTTTTGGACTCTGTTGTAAGGTAAACTTCGACAGGCTTAGGGTGTTGGTGAAGGAGCTTTTTTTTTCTTAGAGTTCTGGTTAGTTTTTGCAAGTGTGTTCCCTAGCATTCCCTTGCACTACATGTCCCTTAGAGTTCTCATAAAATTCTTAATAGAATTGAGGAGATGATGAGAAACTTTCTTTGGTCCAATACAGGTCAGGATGCTATTTGTTAAATGGGCAATATGTTGTCTTCCTAAGAAAGGAGACTAATATCTACGAATCTTGCTCTCCCTAGTTCACTGTAGTACAGGATGGTGAAGAGCAAGTTTGGGCTGCAACAAAATTGTTAAGAAATGGAAGTTGGGGCATCTATTACTTATAGGAAGTCCCTGGATCTACAGCACATATATAGGATTCTTTCTGTTGTTTACTTGGGGATTGGTGATGGATTTCATTTCCTTATTTGGGAAGATTATTAGGTGAGGAAGAACCCACTTGAAATTTCCTAAACTTTGTGGACTTTCCAAAAGATCAAAACTCCCTATCACTTCCTTCTTGAATCACCATGATGGTCACATTTCTTGAAGCTTTTTTCTTTTGGAAATTGTAGTGAATTATTAGAATTATAATGTCTTTGATTACTTTGTTGGATTCTTTTCTTTATACTTCTAACCTTGATTATATTTTATAGTCGTATTGATTCTTTGGGAGCTTATTCTTGCAAATGATTTTTTGAATTTCTTTGTTGGACGAAAGCCTCTGAAAATTTTCAGATATTGCTATTTCTTTGTTATACAAGAAATTGGGGACAATAATTTAGTGAGTCTTAGTGACTTTGGTTGTAACTATTTTGTGTTTTTAAGTTTTTTTATAAAAAATTTTATAATGATATTTTGTTCTTCGTTATTGTAATATATTATTTTAAATTTTAATAGCATTTCTTTCTTTGAAAAAAATCCAATTTGAGAGTCTTTTATAAGCAATAATTCTCAATAGGATCAACATTAATGACTCCAAACTTGTAGACCTCGTAAATACTGTCTTTGGGCTTTTGTTTTATGTGCTTTCACAGTTCAGAATATAAAAGTCATTTGTTTCTTTATTGTGAGATTGCATGGAGGATTTGGAGTGGGTTATTTTTTCCTTTGTGGTTCCTGGGTGTCCTCCCTTCTTGAGCATTTCATCTCCATCTCTTTATGTGTTTTCAGCTGGAGTAAGAATCAAAAGACACCTCGGAGAGAGGCTGCTTTTGCTGGGTTTTTGGTCCTTTGATTGAGAATTTTTCAGATATAGCTATTTTTTTGTTGCCCAGAAAATGGGGGCCATAATTTATTAAATCTCAGTGACTTTAGTTGTATTTGTATTTTTGAGTTTCTTTCTAAAGATCTTAGGAGGATATCTTATTTTTCATTATTGTAATATATTATTCTAAATTTTTAATAATGTTTCTCTTAAAAAAAATCCAATTTGAGAGTCTTTTATGAGTAATAATTCTTATCAGGATCAACGTGAATGACCAAAAACTTGTAAACCTCATAAATACTGTCTTTGGATTTTTTTTCTTTTAAATAAATCTTTGGGTATTTGTTTTATGCACTTTTGAAGTTCAGAATACAATAGTCATTTATTTCTTTGTTGTGAAATAGTCTGGAGGATTTGGAGACAGATTATTTTCTTTCTTGCGTGTTTCTTGGGTGTCCTCCTGACTTGAGTGTCTTCATGTCCATCTCTTTGTGTTCTTGGATGAAGTAAGGATTGAAAGACGCTTAGGAGAGGCTTTTTTTGCTGGATTATTGGTTCTTTGAAAGGAGAAATGTGAAATTTTTTTAAGCAAATGTCTTGATCTTTTGATGATATTTGGGAGAGGATTCTGTTTTTTGCTTCTCTTTGTGCTAAAGTTGATGCTTTCTTTAAGGGAACTTGCTTGTAATGTCTGGGTTGCTAGCATGTATTGATAGTGCTTTTACTGTGTTTCTTTTTCCATTTGGAATATATTGCATCTTCTCCTTTAGTTTGTAATTTTTTTCTGCCTTCAATTGATATTTCATTTTTTATCAAAAAAAGAAAAAGAAATAGGCATATACCTCTTGGTCATGGCTGCAAATGAACGTTAAAGCTTCAAGAGCATAGTCATTTGTCCAATTCGAGATGGTCTGTAGCAAGCAAGGAGGTCTAAAAAGTTCAAATCAGTTTTCCGTCGGACCATCACTGGTGTTGTAGTTGGTAAGTCCCTATTAACTCAGGGTGCCATTTGTGCTTTTATTTATGATTTGGAAAATATATTAAGCAATGATAGGCTGCATATTTGTGATAGAAACCTCTTGATGAGATATTTGGTCAGCCTGAATGAAGAGAAAATACAATGGCTATAGGCATAGTTTTAAGCCTATTAAAAGTCTGGCTTAGGAGTGAAATTTAAAATGACTACGGTAGGACAAAAGCCATAAATACCAATTCAGGGATACCTGGAGTAGCTTATTTCTCTTGAGCTTAGTCGCCCTTTTGTACATGAGTGGAACAAATTTGGTCTCCTTCAGTTGCATCTATTTCTCTTTTTCTCATAAAAAAAGACCAAAATCAAGAGTTGTACTCAATTTTTAATACTCTTATTGATTGAGTCCTATTTTTTTGATTATGAAAATTGTCAAGTTAGACACTTTAATTTATATTAATACTAGACATTTGCACCTGATTCCTGGCAACGAATGAGCTAGGGAATATTTTTTCTTGCCTTCTCATTCACTGAAATTTATGTGAAAAGATGTGCTATATGTAACAGTGTGCTGTCAGAGGACATTAGGATATGTTCGAGTTTTATGCAGGTAGAATAGGGACAATAGTTTGCGATAATTTTATTTATTTTAGAAGGCGTCTGGGATTTTTCACCTAGGCTAGCTTTTGAGAATGGGCTCGTTTGAGCATGAATTAAAATAATCATCAAAAGCTTCAGGTATGTACAGGTTAAGTCCCACTTGCATGGGATCTTAAAATCTAATCTGAAAATTTATTCTGACCTCATTTGCTGAATGCACCTTATGATATAAAAACAACAATTGAATGTACAACACGATATTAGTCAAAAATGATTTTCTCTAAGGTCAGCAGTCTTTTCTTTTCTTTTCTTCTATGGAGCGACCCTGTTAGTGCTTTTGTTAATGATCTTCTCCGAATCATATGGTGTGCTTATTTGTTCTTTTCATTTTTTGTCTTCACTAACTTACTTCCTTTATAGTGCAATCTGGTAATAAGAGGTCGAGGTGCTCTTGTTTTTTGTTCAAAACCTCTCACACAAACAAATCCTGCAAAAGAAGTTTAAAAATTAGTGGGTAAACCATGCTGAATAGATACAGGATTAAGGTAAATTTCATGTCCAAGTTTTTTTGTGATTCATCTCTTAAAAAGTAAGAATACAAATTCATCACTGTGGATCTGAAAAATATGAGCTAAATAGGTTAACTATGTATCAAATATGTAAGTTATGACTAAATTCAATATATCAAATAATTAAGATTTAGGACTTGAATGAGAATACAAAAAAGTTGAACCAAATACAATACAAGGTAGTATTTAAGCTAAACATATTTAAACAATTACTACAATATATATTAGGCCAGCCAGCATCTTGCAATGTTAGGTTAATTAATTCAAGCCTGAATATACCAAAAATTGGACCAGCATCGTGCTGGTTGTTCTCTTAACATGTTCCTAGAGCAAAAAAGCAACTTGGTGAAATGATTTTTTTTTTTCAATTTTTGAAGGTGAGGTGTCTGGATAGTTTATTTTATCCAAGAAAACTGCAGGAATACAATTAATGCCCCGTCTGGCAACAACCCGTAGTTTCTTTTTCTTAAAAAAAATAAGTGTAGTATGCTATAATATTAACAATGGTATCAAGGGGGTATTACCCCTGTACAAAATAACTCTTAGTTGTTGCTTACATGGTGGAAAAACACTTTGTTGCCAAACGGGAAAAACTAGAAGTACTTTTAGCAGAAGGTAAAGTTAAAATATGCTTTTAACAATGGTAAGTACAAAAGTAGGCTCTACATGTTTAAGGAAAAACCTACACATGGTTTTCCAAAATTATCCTCACACAAACTTTTAAGTAATTGGCAGATATTAATAAAATTAAAATCTAAAAATAAATATATTAATATTACTATACAAATGATAATTCAAATTAAATTTATCTATTTTTACTATTTCTTTGTTTTTTTGCATTTAAAAGTCTTTTTGCGTTATAATAATTTAAAATAGTAATTGTCAACTATATTTAACACTAAAAGTCAATAGTTCAATTTGTTTGTACTTTTTGAAATTTAATAATAATTTAAAGAATGAAACACAAAATTAAATTAACAATCAAAATTATTCAAATATCTTATTCTCTTATGCTTTTTTTTTATCATTTCAATATCTTTAATTATTTTCATGAAAAACATCAGCTTCTGTTTTTCAAAGTGACAATACTTCAGCTATTTCCAACAAACACATAACAAGTTTTCTGCTAAAAATGTTCTCACTGAACACTATTTTGGTAGCACTTTTGATGCTCATAGTATGAGCACCAGCTATGTTAAATGGGTACTAAGACTTAGTTCATCTGTTTGCTCTTTTCTCTTTCTTTCTCTAAAACACACTTGTGTACATGTGTGCTTATGCGCTTAGGATACACCATTTGTAGATGACATGTGGTTAGTTTTGTAGTTTGACCTTCTACAATATGTAGGATGACCTTTTAGCACGTAAAGTCACTTAATTCTTGATCAGTTATCTTGACTGGAGCCAAATGTAAGGACTTGCATATGGGTCTAATTGTAACTAAGATGGACAAAAGGTTTTCTACTTGGAAAGGCACCTTCTTTTCTAAGGGTGGGAGACTCACTTTGTTTGAAAGGACCTTTTGAATTTGTCAACTTTTCCTTCTCTGTTTTCCCCATCCCTTCTCAGTCAAAAGCTTGTTTCTTTGAAATGACTTCGAGGAGCATAGGAAATACCAACATGTAGCTTGGGACACTGTTAGAAGACCAATTGAAAAAGGTGTATCAAATCTTTGAGGTTGATGAATATACCTCTTTTGGCAAAATGGCTATGGAAATTAATGTCTTCAAAGAGAGGTATAGGAGGAAGTCATCACAGCTAAATATAGGGTAGACGGGAGGGGGTGGCGAACAGCAATAGTCAAACAGGTATGTAAGACTAGCCTCTGGAAGGGGACTAGTTTGAGTTGGAGTCAAGTAATGAACTTGTTGTGCTTCCAGGTTGTTGGTGGTCTAAGAGCTTTTAGTATAACTTCTAGTGTGGGAATGTTCCTTCGAATCTGTTTTCGATGTTGTATGAGCTAGCTAGAGCTAAGGAGGCCTTAGTTAGTGAACATATGACACGGTAAAACCCCTCTCATCCCTACTGTGGCCTATCTAATAATTGGGAGATCACGACCTTGCCACCTTCTTACCATGTTGGATTGTAGTCACATCTCTTCTATGTTTCCTAACAAGCCAGTTTGGACTTTCTCAAAAGATGGGGCCTTCTCGGTGAATTTTCATTCTACTTCAATCTTTTGCCTGAATCCTCTTTGACCTTTAGATTTTCGTAGAAACAGATGTTGAAGAAGAACCTTGTTTCTCGTTCTTTGCGAAGTGACGTCAGGCAAAATTTGTACCTTAGATAACTTAAGAAAAAAAATGGTAGAATCATTGTTAATGGCTGCCTGCTTTGCCTGCAG